CAGCAGTCCCTCTAGCATTTCTTTCATTGGTGGTTTGGTTGTAATAAACTCCCTTAGCCCTTTTTTCAGTGAAGCTCCTGATTTCACCTTCAATTTTGAATGATAGTCTTTCTGGGTATAGTATTCTTGGATTCAGTCCCTTGCTTTGCATTACTTTGTATATTTCATTCCATTCCCTTCTGTCCTGATGTGTTTTTGTTGAAAAATCCATTGATAGTCTGATGGGAGATCCCTTATAGGTAACGTTCTGTCTCTCTTTAACAGCCTTAACATTTTTACTTTGTCGTTGGTGTTTGCTAATCTATAATAATAAAAGCATAATATGCTAATTAGACTGGACATCCTTCCACATGTACTTTTGGATGACTTGCTGGACTAAGCTGGGGCTATGAGGGAAGCCTGGGTTACAGGTACCTATTGGCGGCTGGAAGGAAGCCTGTGTCCCTGGTGTCTGCCAGCGGCTGGAGGGAATCCGGTACTGACAGCCAGGGGAAGGAACCCTATTCTTTCATGAATTTTGTGCATCGGGCCTCTAGTTTAATTATAATGTGTTGTGGTGTCAGCCTTTTTGGGTTCATCTTGTTTGGGACTCTGTGAGCTTCTTGGACCTGTGTGAGTTTTTTCTTCCCAATATCAGGGAAGTTTTCTGTAATTATTTCTTCAAACAGGTTTTCTATTCCTTGCTGTTTCCTCTTCTTCTGGCACCCTTATTATGCAGATGTTGTTTCGTTTAGTGTTGTCCCAAGGCTCCCTTAGTCTCTACTCCTGTGTTTTAAGTTTTTTTTTTCCCAGTTGCTGCTCTGCTTGGGGATTGTTTCCTACCTTGTATTCTAGCTCACTGATGTGGTCCTAAACTTTTCCTAGTCTACTGTTGATGCTTTCTATTGTGTTCTTTTTGAAGCTATGTCATTCTTCCTTTCTTCATGGTTCTTCTTTCCCTCTTGGTTCTTACACATGTTGTTGAATTTGTCTTCCATCCTTTTCAGTGTCAATATGACCATTCCTCTGAATTCTTTCTCTGACAAATTGTTTCCCTCCATTTGTTTACTTCCTTTTCTGGCGATTCCTCCTTTTCATTTGTATTGCGGCTGTTTCTTTGTCTCTACATTTTTGCTCTTTGGAGGGTGTCTGGTTATGTGGCTCATGCTCTACCACATTCACAGCTGTGTTTAATCCACCAATTCAGTGTGGATGTTATTCAATTCAGCTGTTTCTCCTATCTGCTCCTTGAGAAGGTACAGGACCTGTCTGCCTATTCAGCTGCCATTTTCTCTCCCCCTGGTCAAATTTCTTATGAGCCCATAGCTGGGGAGGCAGGAGTCTCAGTGTTCAGAGCCGAGGCAGCTGGTCCTGGGCTGTTGTGGCTGTAGGATCCCGGGTGGTGTCCGTGGTCTCCCTTGGTGAAGGTGAGGTTGGGCTCCCAATCACAGCTGCTCTCCCCTTCAAGATTATGTGATCTCTCTGTCATAGCCTGCCACCCTGGGAGAAATTTCAGCAGTTGTAGAGGCTTCCCGGTTAGGGGAGCATGTTCTTCCAGTCCACAACAATCCTGTGGAATATAAATGTCCCTCACTCACACACCCCACATGTTCATACACTCCCCATTTGCTCTCTCACTCACACTGTTTCCCTCAAAATCATCCTGTTGGCTACCATCTTGGATCTCCCCAGAATATACATTATTCTCAAGTGCACATGGGACATTTTCAAAGATAGACCACATATTGGGAGAAAGGCAAAGTCTCTTCACATTCAAGAAGATAGAAGTCATATCAACCATCTTGTCATATCACAATAGCATAAAATTAGAAAGCAACTACAATGAAAACAGTCGAGCACTTGGAGGGTAAATAGCATGCTATTAAACAATCATTGGGTTATCAAAGAGATCAAAGAAGAAATAAAAGCATCCTGGTAACAAAAGACAAAGAAAACACAACAATCCAAAATCTATGGGACACAGTGCAAGCAATCCTGAAAGGGAAGTTCATAGTTCTACAGGCCTACCTCAAAAAAAAAAAAAGGTAATATATATCTAACACTACAACTTACAGAATTAGAAACAGAGCCACAAGAAAAGCCCAGAGTAAGTAGATGGAAGGAAATAATAAAGATCAGAGTGGAAATACATGACATAGAGACCAAAAACAATACAAAAGATCAATGAAAACAAGAGTTGATTCTTTAAAAGGATAAACAAGATTGATGAACCTCTAACCAGGCTCATCAAGAAGCAAAGAGAGAGAACCCAAATAAACAAAATCAGAAATGAAAGAGGCTAAATAATAACAGACCCCACAGAAGTACAAAAGATTGTAAAAAAAAATGCTATGAACAACTTTAAGATTGATGAACCTCTAGCCAGGCTCACCAAGAAACCAAAAGAGGACCCAAATAAAGAAAATCAGAAATGAAAGAGGTGAAATAGCAACTGACCCCACAGAAATACAAAGGATTGTAATATAATACCACGAACAACTCTACTCCAACAAACTGAACAACCTAGACGAAATAGATGTATTCCTAGAAAAATACAATATTCTAAACTCAATCAGGAAGAATAAAAAAACCTGAATAGGCTGATAACTGCCAATGAAATTGAAGCAGTAATCAAAAAACTTCCAGCAGTAAAACCTCTGGTCTGGTTGGCTTCACAGGGGAGTTTTATGAAACATTCAAAGAAGAACTAAAACCAATCCTTCTCAGACTATTCAAAAAAATTCAAGAGGAAGGCACACTCCCAAGCTCTTCCAGCATTATCCTAATCCCAAAACCAGTTAAAGACACTACAATGAAAGAGAATTATAGGCCAATATCCCTGATGAACATAGATGCTAAAATCCTCAACAAAATTATAGCAAAATAGATCCAGCATTACATTAGATAAATCATACACTATGACCAAGTGGGATTTATTCCAGGAATACAAGGCTGGTACAATATTTGCAAATCAATAAATATGATACATTCATTACATAAACAAATTGAGACAAAAATCACATGAGCATATCAATTGATGCATAAAAAGTATTTGACAAAATCCAACACCCTTTCCTGTTATAATCTCTCAGCAAAGTGGGAATAGAGAGATCATACCTCCATAATGAAAGCCTTATATGACAAACCTACAAGCAACATCATACTCAATGGGAAAAAAACTAAATCCATTTCCCCTAAGAACAAGACAGGGATGCCCACTTTCACCACTCCTGTTTGACATAGTATTGGAAGTGCTAGCCATAGCAATTAGACAAGAAGAAGAAATAAAAGGCATCCAAATTGGAAAAGAAGAAGTAAAACTGTCCGTATTCACAGATAACATGAAATTTTACATACAAACCCCTAAAGACTCCCATCAAAAAACTACTAGACTTAATAAATGAATTCGGCAATATAGCAAGATACAAAATTAACACCCAGAAATCTATGGCTTTTTTATATACCAACAGTGAACTCACAGAAAGAGAAACTAAAAAATCAATCACATTTACCATAGCAACAAATAAATTAAGATACATAGGAATAAACTTAACTAAGTACGTAAAAAACTTATACTCAGAAAACTACAGGATATAGTTTGAAAATTTATATCCTGTTGAAAAAAGAGATAGAGGAAGATCTAAACAAATGGAAGTACATACCGTGTTCATGGATTGGTAGAATCAACATTGTTAAACTCTCCATTATACCCAAAGCCATCTATAGATTCAATGCAATCCCATGTGTCATTCTTTAAACAACAAAGAATTTAAATTTTCACAAAGTTACTAAATGTTTCTTGATGCATTATTACTATCCTAGCATATTAACAAGCTCCTTGAGAGCAAGTCTAGCTGGAAGAGGCTTGTGGAGCAGCCTCTTTCCTCCTCCATTTAGATGTCACAGCAGTGCCTCTGGACCAGGGGTGGGCAAACTTTTTGACTCGAGGGCCACAATGGGTTCTTAAACTGGACCGGAGGGCCGGAACAAACGCATGGATGGAGTGTTTGTGTGAACTAATATAAATTCAAAGTAAACATCATTACATAAAAGGATACGGTCTTTCTTTTTTTTACTTTTATTCATTTCAAACGGGCCGGATCCGGCCCGCGGGCTGTAGTTTGCCCACGGCTGCTCTGGACTATTGACTTGAGGAAGAGGTGGTGCTGAATTAAAGAGCATCAATTTGCTTTATTGTTTGTTACCTGGGATGTTAAGTCATTAAGTTTTCATCTTTGGAAATCTTTGGCCTTGAGGTACTCTGATGTAAAAAAGGAAAATGCAAAAGAAGTTGTGGTTGTAACAAGAATAGAGAACTTATTACAGAGTGAGAATATATTAGGCTTTCATATTTCATATTTTGTTACTTCATTGTGATTCTGTAAATAGGCTGTCAGGAATAAAATCTGTATAAAATCAGTGAAACTATAGATATTAAATAAAAGTATCAACTTTTATATTGTTTTTGAAATTTATTGAGGTTTAAAAAGATGTGCGTATCTATACACTATTTTAGGATTTCAGGCTTAGTTTTGATTAAAATATAAGTTTAATATATAAATATTTATGACACTTAGTAGTTGGTCGAATTTTTTTCAAGGCAATGAAATCTTCAGAAATTATAATGGATGGGTACAAATTAAATTGAAACATTAGGTAGTTACAATGGAAAGTTCTGTCAATGATTGTGTCTATATTATTAGATAGCAAGCTACTGACATTTTAACATTTCAATACTTTTAAAATTTTGACTTAGTTGAATAAGTGATTAATGAAAAAATAGTAAGACTAATTACTACAAAATTTGTCTTTTTTATGGACCTCAATTTCAAAAGTAATGTAAACACTAGTAATTTAATATTAAACATATACTTTAAGTTGAGGGAAAATTGTTTGGTGTACTCTCTAAATAGTTGGTGTTAATCTTTTGTTGTAGTCTAAATTCTGACCTTTATTAGAGACTGTTTCTTGGTTTATGTATTTTTTAATATATTTTAAAATGTTTTCCCTTCACTAAACAGCTTTGATGTCATATTTGCTGGCAGTCCAGAAGAAGTTCTAAAAAAGTTTCAAAAGTCAAACCACAAAGTGGTCTTTGCAGCAGATGGAATTCTGTGGCCAGATAAGAGACTAGCAGACAAGTATCCTGTTGTACACATTGGGAAACGCTACCTGAATTCCGGAGGTGGGTAAGATTCTGGCAGAAAAGTGTAATGTAAATTAAAGTAATTATAAATAATTATGAAACAACCTTTTTTTATATGTATAACTATAGACATAGTTTTAAATAACCATTATCTTATTACTATGGAAAAATTACATCAGTTTATAATCCACAGTACATTTTTAGCTGACAAAGCATTTTCCTATATATATTATATCATACTTTAGGCCCAATGCACAAAATTCGTGTGTGTGTGTGTGTGTGTGTGGCGGGGGGAATACCTCAGCCTGGCCTGTGGTCTCTTTCAATCCAAGAACCCACGCTCCTAACCGCCTGCCTGCTCACTTCTAACTGCTTGGCTTGCTGCTCATTAGCACTGCCGCAGAGGTAGGAGGGGCTCCTGCCACCACCGCTACACTTGCCAGCCTTGAGCCTGGCTTCTGGCTGAGCAGCGTTCCCACTGTGGGACAAACTGAGCACCAGGGGGCAGTTTCTGCCTCAAGTGTCTGCCCCCTGGTGGTCAGTGCACGTCATAGTGACCAGTCATTCTGGTTGTTCCACCGTAACAGTCGCTGGGCTTTTATATAATAGAAGACTAGAGGCCCAATGCATGGAATTCGTGCAAGAGAAGGACTTCCTTCCCCCAGCTGCTGACACCAGCTTCCCTCCAGAACCCAGGACCCGGGCTTCCCTCAGGCCGCCGGCAGGCACCTGGACCCGGGCTTCCTTCTGGCCACCAGTAGGCACCCGGGACCCAGGCTTTGCTCCAATCGCTGGCAGGCACCCAGGACCCAGGCTTCCCTCACAACCCCGGCTTTGTCTGGAAGGACATCTGGTCTAATTAGCATATTATGCTTATATTATTATAGACTAGAGGCCCGGTGCACAAAAATTTGTGCACTCGGGGGGCGGGGGGGGGGGGGGCCCCCCGCCCGGCCTGTGCCCTCTTGCAGTCTGGGACCCCTCAGGAGATAACGACCTGCTGGCTTAGGCCTGCTCCTGGGTGGCAGAGGGCAGGCCCAATCCCTAGGTGCAGCCCCTGGTCGGGCTAAGAGCAGGGCTGATTGGGGAGTTGGGGCGCTGCCCCCTGTCATGCACAGAGCAGGGCGGATCGGGAGGTTGCGATGCCACCCTCAGTCACGCTCAGGGTAGGGCCGATAGGGGGGTTGGGGCACCGCCCCCTGTCACACTCAAGGCATGGTCGATGGGGAGATTGCGGCCCCACCGCCTGTCACGCACAGAGCAGGGCCCATCAGGGGGGTTGGGGAGCTCCCCCCTGTCACGCACAGAGCAGGGCCGGTCAGGGGGTTGAGGAGCTCCCCCTTGTCACTCACAGAGTAGGGCAGATAGGGGAGTTGGGGCACCGCCCCCTGTCATGCACAGAGCAGGGCCGATCAGGGGGTTGGGGCGCCGCCACTGTCATACTCAGGGCAGGGCCGATGGGGAGGTTATGGCTCTACCCCGTCACACACAGAGCAGGGCCGATCAGGGGGTTGGGGCGCCGCCACTGTCATACTCAGGGCAGGGCCGATGGGGAGGTTATGGCTCTACCCCGTCACACACAGAGCAGGGCCGATCAGGGGGTTGGGGCGCCGCCACTGTCATACTCAGGGCAGGGCCGATGGGGAGGTTATGGCTCTACCCCGTCACACACAGAGCAGGGCCGATCAGGGGGTTGGGGCGCCGCCACTGTCATACTCAGGGCAGGGCCGATGGGGAGGTTATGGCTCTACCCCGTCACACACAGAGCAGGGCCGATCAGGGGGTTGGGGCGCCTTCCCCTGTCACGAACAGAGCAGGGCGGATAGGGAGGTTGTGGCCCCGCCCCCTGTCACACACAGAGCCGCAGGGCGATCAGAGGGTTTGGGCGCTGCCCCCTGTCACACTGCTCCAGGGGCCAGGAGGCCTCGCGGCTTCACTGATCCCAGTGCTGGGAGGCTCGCAGCTCCGCTGATCCCGGTGCTGGGAGGCATATTACCCTTTTACTATATAGGATAGAGGCCTGGTGCATGGGTGGGGGCCGGCTGGTTTGCCCTGAAGGGTGTCCTGGATCAGGGTGGGGTCCCCACTGGGGTGCATGGCCAGTCTGGGTGAGGGGCTGAGGGCTGTTTTCAGGCTGGCGGGGGACTGAAGCTCCCAACC